TAGAGCGTGTTTTATCTGTAGTTTCTGCTATCAACATTATAAAACAAAAGTTTGATTGTATTTATCTTAAAATATTTTAGAAGCAAAGAAGATGATGAGTCCATAGAAGTAGATTAACTGTGTTTAAAGTGAGAATCTCATTCCTTTGAATAATATTTGGATTAGTTTACTTTCTGAGACCCCGCACTTGTTGAAGGCTTGGGTTTAGATCCTTTAAATGTCTGAAAGATTCATAAAATAATATTCAGATAATAACTGTCAGGTAACAAATAAAATATTCCAAATTATAGAATATGTTTGTCATTATTCGTTGCATAAAGCACAGCATTAGACTTGTGAACCTTATATGAAAAAATGGACTGTCATGACAGTCCTATCTGTTCAACATCAGTTTACAGCACCTTCCTCGTTGTTACTTCTATTATAAACTAATTTGCATTGTCTTATTACAAGTGCATTTTATCTAAATATCTTATTTTAAGAGTAAAAATACTTATTCCATTGGCAAATCATCTCATTAACCTACTCATATTAAAGGTAAATACATTTTATTTAAGAAATTCTTTACTTATTTCTAGATTGTTTTTCCAGTGCAGATTCTAAAGTATCGCAGCAAGTCTTAGAATAGGTATGCGGATTGCATAAAACTATATCTCTGTGTTACCTCACAACAATGGTCATTTACACCCCCTGGAGGAGTGTTTTCACATTATCAGATAAGGAATTTCATTTATTAAAGGCAGAAAAATGCAAATAAGTGATGTTTTAAAGTAATATAAATATTATCCAGGCATTTAACTGGATAAGAGGCGAAAAACACTTAAGATGGAGTCAGACTAGTATCGTATTACTAAATCAGTCTAACAGCCTTTAAATAATCAGAATTTGTTGTCAAATCAAAACACTATTCTTAACAGGTTAGATTATTTCAGTGTATTTAGTTTTCTCAATAAACAATATCAATCTGGTAACCAGAGTTCATCCAAAATCCACTGCAGATATCTCACATTAAATGATAATATTTCAGCAGTTCTTAAATCCCTGCACTGGATTCTGATTTGATGTGTACAGAATGATCCGTAAAGATCCATCGTGTCTTTGGGCTTAAATACATTTTAGATGCAGGCCGGGCATGAAATATAAATACATTCCTATTATTATAAAAAGCTGTCCACCCAGTTTACTCAGGTACGTAACAAATCAAAATGAGGAAGGATTTTTTTTTTGTTCTCTGAAAAGCTGAAATGTGCGGAAACTGTTGGTTCCTTTATTTCAGCAACAAAGATATCAGTGTTTAAAGCAGTTTTCTCTTAAAATATTCCATTTTTAGTTGTATGTCCTGTTGTAGATGTGAAGGACTTTGAATAAACCAACTTCATCCGATCATAAAAAGGTTCAACTCATTGTGAGATCATACCTACCTTTAGTTTTTTGTCTGAACTTGCAGTGTTTTCATACATCATCTTGGAGCCTCTGATGTCACAAAGCTTGTCAGCATCGCCATGGAGGAGTAAGAAGGGCCAGCTGATTGATGGGATCGCTCTCTCGATGCGTTCCGCCGCACCCATCAGCTGCATGCCGAACGACACTCGTAACCTGCCATGGTAGTTCAGCTCATCAGCGTCGTACGCCTCCACCTGACAGGACACATCCAGGCAAGAAAGCAATGATTAGAAAGGACTGAAGAACTAAGATATTCTTCCATGTGTTAAGATCAAACAAATTGAACAAAAAAAAATATATATATATATCAGAAAATCTGTCATTTAAAGATAAAAAAAAAAAAAAGTTCTGCACATTTTTATCAATGTAATGTTACTACTGAATGCACCGCAGAGAAAACCAATCCTGAAAGATTCTCTATCATATAATTGTGTTTTCTTTAATCCCTTTTTCTTACTTTTACTGCATGTTTTTTTTTTTTTTGGTAAACTTTATTTTACCAGAAAATAATCCATCATGATAACTAAAGCAGATAGCATGAATATCTATAGTGAAAAAAGGGACTTTTTGGACCTGTAAATATTACCTCAGTTTTTATGTAAAATTTTACTCAAAATGCTGCCTTTTAATTAATGTGTTACTTAGACTTTATCTGTAAATCTATATCTATGTAAGTACAATTATTTAATCTAATCCAAATAGTATTAACAAAACTATTTAAATAAGTTCCCAACTTAACAGATGATACTTGGATATTAGGAATAAAGTTGGTGCTTTTTCCTTGCATTAACATGTTTAGGTAAGAAATAGAAAATACAGTTTCTTTGTGGTGCAGTGTGTAGCACTGTTGCCTTGCAGCAGGAAAGGTTCAGGGTAAGATCCCTGCTCCAGGGTCTCTCTGCATGTTCTTCCCATGCGTACGTACGTTCTCTCCGGGTCACAGTCCAGAAACATGACTGTTAAGTTAATTGGCTTCTTTAGATTCTCCTTGTGTGCATGGTTGTATGTCTCTGTGTAAAATTTACTAGCAAAACAAAAGCACATCTTTTGTTTATAAAGGAAACTTGGTAGTAGAATTTTATTGATTTAAATTGCTATGTGGAAAACATTTCCTAGCTGTTCTACGTAAATGGTACACCAGATTTTTATCAGTGTTGTATTAGAATGTTGGAATCCTAGCGTTGAAGAATGTAAAACATTTAGTGCAAATAACTTCCTTAAAAACTACTAAATATAGAGCGTGTTTTATCTGTAGTTTCTGCTATCAACATTGTAAAACGAAAGTTTGATTGTATTTATCTTAAAATATTTTAGAAGCAAAGAAGTTGATGAGTCCATAGAAGTAGATTAACTGTGTTTACAGTGAGAATCTCATTCCTTTTACTAATATTTGGATTAGTTTACTTTCTGAAACCTTTTTGCAAAAACTAAACACAAAAAACAGCAAAACACAGAAAGCTGCACATCGTCCTTTCAAATAGTTAAATTTTAGACAAGCAGCTCCACTTGATTGCCTAACAGAACTTTTAAACAAAGAATGTTTAAACAAACTATTTATATTCAGGAGGAAAACATTTTTTCAAGCTGAGAATACGTGGTGCTCTGGGAAGAAATGTGCATAAAAATTAGAGCTTAAAGATAAACCGGGTAGATAGAAAACAGGTGGAAGGATTGGTGACCAAAAAACAAGAAAGGAGTTTTTTTTTGTTAGCCAAATCAGACCCTCAAATAGTCAGTCTTTTTCTAGTTAACGCTTCTAATCTGATGTGGTAAGTTTAACACGTGAGTGTTTAGTTTCTGAGTACACACAGCTGTGACCAACTCTAAACAGAAAACGATTTTATGCGCCACAAGTCATAAAGTTCAAAATAAGAGTAAGAGAAATGGTGGATCAACAAGTCTAATTCAAAAGCTCCAGTCAAATTACATCTTAAAAGATAAATTCTTGGTTTTCGTAGAGGTGAGATCCTTTAGGAATACTTCATGATTAGTAATTTAGTAAAGATGAAAAGTTTATCAGTCTTTAGACATTAAATGTTTACAGAAACCAAGTCAGCTCAGAGGGGATGAACATTATTAAATATCCAACACTAACATGGTATTAGATGTTCCGATGCTAGAGAAGTTCCCTACATGGATGTTAGAGATATTATTGACCAACTATCTGTTGTTCGTCTTCAGATTTGTATCTTTTGTGACTACTTGGAGTAGTAGCTTTAGTAGCACAGCTTTCTATTTACTTTGATTTACAGCTCTTTAGATGCCTAAATAGATATCTGACCTCTTCTATCATTGTGCTATAATTTTAAAATGACCCAAAATACAAGGCCAGGCTGCAGAACTAATGTAGAAATTATGTGTTTTTCTGCTGCTCACATCTGGTCATGTTTTCCTTCTTCATCATAGATCATTTTAAATGCCTCTTGGTGACTTTTTTATGTCCAACTATGTGAAATAATGAATTAAGGCCCCTTAAAGTGATAGTAAAGCAGAAGTTGTTCATTTGATAAAAGGAGGGACTTTCCAATCATAGCGTGTTTTCCCTGCATGGCTTTTTACTGAGACAAACTGAGTCATTTTGCATAAATAAACTGAGCTGCGTGGGGGAATGAATTATAAGCTGATTTCCTATTGTGTCATATGTATTAAGAACACATGTTTTATGGGTCCAAACTGGAGCAAATTTAAATGTGTCAGATCATGTCCCGTTGGGTCTTTGATGTCTATCATTTATGAACTCTGGTTCGAAATACAGTTTGTATATTAAGGAACTTCACAGTATTCTGCTGTGTCAAGCTACTTTCCCTATAAGGTGATGCAGTAGCACTAGTTTCTATGGAAGCACATCTTTCTCTGTCATCTAAACCAAAGGGAAATATGCTATAGTTTAAGTTGGATACAAACAAAAACTACAGAATTGTGGATTTATAAATAGTATAAATCCAGAGGAGATTATATCAGAATAATGTAAAAAGTAAAAGCTTGAAATGCTTATTTTGTCAAATGATGAGCTTAGCTTTAGATGTTCCTTCAGACGGGTTAGTAGTTAGGGTTTTGCTTGGTATAATCTTTTAAAATGGGTTTGGTCTTCAAGATTAAGCTCTTCAAAATGATGCATGAATGAATCAGAAATCATTATGAAACAACTGGAGAAGTAAAGCAAGATTTAGTTAAATTTGGATTCAAATAGTAAAAAGCATAAAGAAACTAATCTTGCAAATAAAACCAGCAGCTACATTAAATATATATGGTTGACTCTCTATTTTTAATTTATTCATGCATATTTCACAACAGAATTTTGGATTTCTGTTTATTTCTAACATTGAAATCTTTTTTTTCAAAGCTCTCTTTCAATATGTTTACTAGTGTTATTTTTAACCGCAAACAAAGAAGTTTTACATCTCTATCATTCATATATGCTAAAGCCATCTAATGCTGTAGCAAGAAGATTAAAAATAAACTTCCTCTATCTTAATGTGGGCGGCAGAATTAGCAGGATGTGGGCCCTGCTGAGGTGCACAGACAACCACAGAGAGACATGCAGAAAGCTGCACAAATATGCTGCTGAACGTGTCTGCATGGTCGTATTCGGCTAGCCTGTGGTTAACCTACAGGTTTAAGTTAGCTATTTAAGATGGAGACACACTTGTTTGTTGTTCCCAAACAGGTGTGGTTTTCATCCTGGGATTGTTCAGAAAATGCTCGACTTCAGATGAACAAACAATGGACACATTTTTCCCCTGAGACACCGACACATCCGTGCCTAACGGGTCAGTTACATCAGTATCAGAGTAAAACCCAGATTCACAATGGCCGACATCTGTCTCTTACCTGCTTCTGGTCCCGTGAGACCCATTTGGACTCAATGGATCCCAGAGTGAGGCTCGGCAGCATGTGGTTTAAAAGCTTCGCCACAAAAATCTTGGGGAGAAAAAAACAACACAAGTCTGCTGAGAATTTGTTTATTTTCACATTTTAACATCTTCAACATGAGTTCTTTTTTTGTCTGAACATTTTCACATTTTTTATTTTTTTATCCAAGCGTTTATTTTAACATTAAACATGCATATTTGTTTTTACCAAAACAAACATGTTGGGAAAAGCAAACTTTCCCTGTCCTACTTGGGATTTTTATTTGATGTTTGAATTCCAAAAGTTTACTTTTAGATTATTGCAAGAATTAAGGGAGTGACAACTTAAATCTTATTGGTTACCTTGAAGGGTGTCGCTGACTCTGGGTTCATCTGGACCATTGGAGCTATCAGAACCACTCCAGCAAACTCACCAGGTCTTTCACAGGCAGTGAGGATGGAGATCGCACCGCCCTAAGAAGAAGGACACATAAAAACTTTTAATTCCACAGTTTACTTTATTTCTTTTTTGTTCTAAAGCCTGGAATTAAACTTTGTTATCCTTTGTTTTATGTTTATTTAATAAAAATTTTTATTGTCATATTTAATGTTTCCAGTAATAAATGTTATTAATGCAATCAGTGGGAAAAGAATAATCTAAACAAAGAAGAAAGCAGCTTTTAAAATGAGTATTTAATTGAATAATGGAGAGAGTTATGCATTAATCTGGCTGTATGGGAAATTTGCTCTTTTTTAAATTAACTATCACTTGAGTTTGGTTAACCTGCCTGAGGTTTGCTGAAATTGTAGATTCAAGAAATATTTTAATCAGAATCTGACTGAATGAAGTCGGCAAAAAATCTTAACATTTCATTATTAAAGAAATTCAACAACATGATAAATCCATTGAAATCTATCAGTCTGGAAATGTTATAAACCTACTTCTAAAGCTTTGGGCCCATAGTGATCCACAGGGAGAGGTCTCAAAAGTGTTAATGTTTATTACTCAAGTAGAAGTATGAACCCTACTGTTTAAAAACACTTTTGTAAAAGTTAAGAGTATCAACTTAAGCTACTCAAGTAAAATACAATTTTTATAACTACTTAAAGTATAAAAGTGAAAGTAATGCAGGGAAAAGTATTAAGCTTTAAACCTTATACTGGTTACTGCACTACCTTATTAAAGGAACTTTTTCTACAATTTTGTATAACTTCCTTATATTTAATTTTCTTAATTTTATAAATAATGGTAACATTCTCAAATTTAACGTTGCATCCTCTTGAAAAACTATTTATTTTTGAATGTGGCGAACAACCAGTTGGTGCAGCACTGAGTCCAACCACAGAGAAATTTATTATCTAGATAAAACAAGTTGTTTTGATTTTTTTTCCAAATACCAATAAGCCAGAACAAATTAGCTTAAATAAAAAAAAGTCTTTTTTTTTTTTAAAAAATGTAAGTAGTAGAAACAATTGCAAAAAAAAAAGAGCAAAAGTAACAAGTAGAAATAAAAATCTAGCTGACTTATTTGGGACCAGTTTTAATTTTTAACCATAAACTAACACAGTGGTTTAAATAAATTTGAATCAGATAGGGAATCTATGGCATGGGAAAATGCTGTTTATGTGGAGAAACCCTTCAAGGTCACTAAATAAAAACATACTTGAATAAAGAGCTATCCAAGATCACTTCCCATTGAAAAAAGTGTTTACAAGTGCAATAACTAAAAGATGCATACATCTTTTCACCTAATTAATATTTTACCTGGATTATCCATAGAATGAAGAAAAACCCCTGCATATTATACCTAAATATTAAATGTGCTAAAGATGCATTCTTATTGGTACTGGTACACTGATATAAGGGACAATAGCATGTTGCTATGACAACAGAAAAATAGGAAAGTTCAACAGGTGATAGATGCATAGTGATATGATGATCTAGTTGTAACACCAGGTAGGGAGAGTCTTCCATACTGTGACAGCAGTGGGTAGGTCCCACCAAAGGAGCGTCTAATGCATGCAGCAGTGGGAAAAATACCAGGAGGTACTGATCAACGTAAAACAATCCAATCTTTTGTTTTTATGTGGGTGTGAGTTTCCAACCGTCACACTGGGAGGGATACATAAATATGAAGCCCTGAGGGCGAAGCACACACTGCTTCAAGTTTGCTAACGTCTGACAGCCATGCAGATACTTCCTGTATTAGCATCTCTGTGTCCATCAATTATCTTTGGTTGACTTCCTGTGTGCAACAAGTGGTGGACATACAGACTCGCACCGGTGTCCTGTGTGGCAAAAGCTGCCTTCCTGTCTGTCTCTCTCTTGCTTTAGGAACTAATTAGCTCCACCTTTGTTTATCTGAGCACTCTTTGTCAGCTGGGTGAATATTCATCATCTTGGGGCCTCTGGCAGCTCCCTTCCATGAAAAGGAGCACAACAGGAAGACAGAACAAGAAAAAAGACACGTAGGCTTGCAAACAGACACACATTCTGAGTTCTAGTTCTTCTATACCTCTCCTCACACGGACAAAAAAACTTTTGTGTGTAAACTTGAACCCTTTGTCCTAACCTGAATTATCAGTCAAAACCCAGAGTGTAAATATATCTTAAGCTTATGTAACACCTGAAATATGTGACTCTTCTATTTTTTTTTAAGTGAACAAGTTGTTTTTTTGATCAGTGGTCTATGTATAGATGGGAAAAGCAACAAATAAAGGATTGAGACAGTGAAGCTTTTTGAGACACTGATGACTGATGTTCTTCTTACAGTCTCTTCCTCTGAACTTTGGGTGGATTGATGAATGCTGTTATTGTCCTGCTGCTCTCTGAAACTTGATCGAATTAAACTGTAAAAAAGAAAAAAAACTGCCTGATGAGCTAATATGCAGACAGGCAATGCAGTTCACAGCTATTCTACTCAGGATTCAAATACAGCCAATAAGCTAATTATATAAATAATTTTCTCTCCTACTTTATTTACTTATAAAACAACTAATAAGATAACAATATTAAATAATTTCAAAACTCCTTTAGTGGATCAGAGAGAAATCTGCAGGCACTAGGTGGGCAAGGATCCATTGAACCCTTGATTTAAAAAAAAGACCAAATCTACATAACGTGATAATTTTTTCCATTTCAAGTATGTTAGCTATAACTTAGGTTACAATTAGCTTATAGAAAATTAAAGGGTTTTTGTTTGTGTTGCCTTGCAGGAAGAAGGTCCCAGGTTCAAATCCCGATATGGACTGTTTTTGCATTGATTTTGAATGTTCTCCATGTGTGGATTCCTGAGCACAGTCCAAGGAGCTGACCCTACGATTGACTGCTGAGGGCTCAGATGGATGAATGGATGGATGGGAAAAATAAATAGCATCAAAAATTCTAACGTTCTGGTAATAAGCTGGGGTTTTAAGAAAAAACAAACGATAGATATAATATCATTACCAAGACATTTCTGAAATAAATCTAAATGACATTAATGAATTTTCCACAATAAATATGCAGAATATTACAAATAAAACTATCTAAGAGAAAAAAAAGACTTTATATAACAATAGAAAAAAGTCCTGTTATGATAGGTGGGATTTAACAGAAAACAGCAATTTTCTATAATTTAAAGGCTTTTCTGAGCTAAATTTTCAATAGTACCGTAGTTTTCAAGTTTTAAATGGCAGATTTTTCATAAGTAATAGAAACAAATAAAGGGTGTACGGCTGTATTTAAATTGCAGTATGCAGGTCGTCATCCAAGGAGATGCATATAAATCTAAATAGGGAAAAAAATTAGTAAACAGGCAATAAACTGTGATAAGCCTTTACATAAATATAAGGTACTTGGGAAGTAGAATAAATGAATTTCTGCTGGAGAGGAACAATGTTTGCATGTAGAGAAAAGAAGAAACTCAGCTTGCAAGCACATGCTGGAATGTTCTTATGAGCTCATACAAAAACAAATTAGATTCCTTAGTGCCAGCTTAGAGAGGGAACATGGAGAAAGAGCTACTGTATATGGGAGTTATTTATGAGCTTAAGCTGTGTTACAGTGACAAGCTCATAGTCCTGACATGCTAAAGCTCAGGATCTGAAATCTGGAGCTCTCCAGGGATTGATAACATAATAAGCTTAAGGTCCTTAGAACGGTTAAGATACAAAGACCCTCCCTTCCTCATGCAACCAACAAGTAAGAAACATGCCTGGTTTCATGAACACTGAAATACTATCATCCAGAATTAAATTTCAAAATAATATGACAATAACAGAGTAAATAAGTGTTGTTTCCCCTAAATCTGATGAAAAAGGAACGTGCTTATGTAGTTTTTTGGTGAAAACGTGTCTGGATCCTGAAATCTTCATTACAATCTTAGCAGACATAGTGGAATCTACAGATGGCTCATTGTCTTGTAGTTTTTACGTCATTGGAGGCTCTTTTTAAACAGATTCGTGTACACAAGGAGGAGCAGAGGAACAGGCTAATGGCAACAGGAAGCATTGCTGCAATGCTGGGAAGCTGGAGAACAGGGCCTGTGAAAACACAACGCTATGCATGGGCTCGGTTTCCGTAACTCTCAGTCGGGGGTTTTGTTGCTTTTAAAGGGTGGAAAAAGAAAGGAATGGAAATCAAAACAACATGAGATGAAGGAGGATGATAGATAATGGAAGAAGAATCTGACAGATTAAAGTTAGTAGATTCAGAGTCGGATATATGCTGAGAACCAAAGGAAACCAATGAGATGAAAGACTAAGACGATGGAGCAAATGTAGGGAGAACAAGAGAAACAGAAATAAACCTTAGGGAATCATATCTTCAGCTTAGTTCTGATATTTACACCCTTTAATGTCTAAAAATGCTCTGCCTTCATCTATGATCTCACCAAAAGTTTTCATTTTAATCCAAATAAAGAAGCAGTATTCCTGGATGTTTCTTTAAACCTTGAACGTCTAGAGCCAAAATAACTCAGACACAAAAATCAAGTGACGTTGAAAGCCACAATTGCTTTTCTGACAACAGTAGACAGAATGCAATTTTTTTTTGGCATATTACCTAAAGGAATCCTGTTCGGATAAAGACGGTTCATTGTTCCTCTTGACGAAACTCCTCACTTTATCTCTTGGACGGAAATGTGCTTCACTACAGATGAAGCACATTTCAGTGGCTTCTGTCCAAGATCCAATTCCTTTGCTCATGATCTAAATCTCTTGATCATAGGTGAGGCTTGGAAAGTAGACAGACCAGTAAATTGAGATTGTTCTCCATCATGACAGATGGTACTAACCCACATAACTGCAGAGGATGTCCTTCCCAGCCCACCCATCCTACCACCACTCATGAGCAGATATGAAGAGACACGAATTGTTCTGCTTGAGGCCGATCTGCTCCCTGGACGAAAAAACTAAAACTTCTTTTCTAACAAACAATCAGGCTCCTTTGATTTCCTTAAAATGTACTTTATTATAGTCAAAGCAGGATGTGTCATTGTTTTGAGCAGGGGCGGATTCCGGAAATTTGGGGCCCTAGGCAAAGACAGGCAGGGGGTCCTCTGAATTGAAAAGACAGCACATAAAACAGACAGATACAGAAATGTTAATAAATAAATAATAATAAATGAATAAACATACATTATTTGTTCTATGTTTTGTCCCTCTCTTCCTTTCCATTTTCTTGTTGTTTTCCTCTCTGTGTTTTGTACTCAGCTGACTTTTCATGCTGTCTCTAAAGGAATGAAAGATTTTTTCCTTTCTCTAAGCGTACTCAGCTGACTTTTCATGCGCCGGCAAAAATAAAAAAACACATTCCTTCTTTTCACTGTAGACAAGCAATGATCTGCTTATCTGTTCTCCATTTTTCATTTGAATGAAATATGCATGAATCATGACAGCAGACAAGATAGAGGAGGGCAGGAGGCGGGGTTATGAATGTACTTGCTCTGCGCTAGAGGGGTCTGCAAAGTCGCTAACTATAGCGACAAAAGCGCTAAGTTGGCAACACTGCTCTTTGCATTGTTTGTTTTTAAATGATTTGCTGCTGTTTGTGTGGACCTTTTTGAACATGTGCAGCAATGTTTAAATGGAGACACTTAATATTATAAGCGTTCTGATGTCATTTTAGCGAAAGGATTTTTTATCAAAATCATAATTAATGTGCACAAATAATGAATAGTTGTATTAACTATACATGTAAACAGAGTTTTATTGGGCCCCCAGGAACTGTGGGCCCTAGGCAACTGCCTAGTTTTACCTAATGGTAAATCCCCCCCTGGTTTTGAGACAAGATATTAAATAAATCTATACTAATGAGGAGGTTACATAATTTTTGGCCAATTTTGCTATAAAAAAAATACTTCCAATGAGGATTATTATTTTTTTTTATGGCTGTCTGACTGGTAGTTTGTTAATATTTAGTGAGTCTTAATGCAGAAGTTTACACAATGTATGCAGGAGCTGAGGTTACTAAAATAGAATAACAAAAAAGATCATGTAAGAGGGAAATAGTGTTATAGATAAATCAGAAAAAGCTTAAAGTGTCATGCCATTCTGGACTCTTTGGTTCTGTGTAAGTTTTCATTTTGGGTTCTCAATTATGCTTTATTTTTTTTTTTCTGTAATGTCAAGATTTATATCCTTTTTGAATATTTAGTTTCACCTTTCCTTGTTATCTCTTTTCAGCATTTTTGCTATTATTCATTCCTAGGTCTAGTTTTAGTTATTCTTTCTATTATCCTTAGGTAATGTTTTCCATGGCTTCAGTTATCTCTAGTCCCTTCTCTTATCCTATAGTTTTCTCCTTGGTTATAACCCTGTTTTCACTGGTTACTCTTTGTTTTCCCCCTGTGCCCCTTTCCTTTCCCCTTAGCTCCTTTCTAGCTCTTTCTGTCCACACCTGCTCCCAATTACCCCACTCTTTGTTCTGTTCCCATATATACTCATCATCTGCAGTCCCTCAGTGCTGGATTCTCTTCATTTCTTTTTGTGTCTTTCTCCTGAGCTTCTCTAGTTTTTAGTTCCTGAGTTCCCAGCCAGTTGTTTTTGGATTTATGTTTTTTAACCATCTAATTCACCATTAAAACTGTATGAACTATCTATGTCTCCTCTACTTTGCATTTGGGTCCACAACAACATCCACCAACTCTGACATAAAGTTATGCTCCCACATAAGTGATCAAGACTCGTTGGAGATTGTGAATGTTCTTAAAAAATGTTTAAAATCACAAATCTCATGTTTATGTTTCAAACAATCTAGTTCTTATTTCTCTGAAAAGCTCATTAGATCATAGAGGTTTAAACAAAACCTCTTTGTGTTGAGTATCACATGCTCTCTGATTTACTGCGGCCTAAAGGCTCCGCATTGAATGGGGGATTAGTTCTGTAATGATTTTGAAGTTTTTCTCTGAGTCCTTTGATCATTTTCTCATAAGACAAATATGAAGTAAACTTATTAGCTGGAAATGTTCCTGACATGAGCCTAATTATGAAAATTTTCTCTGTATTTCTTTCTTTGTCCATCCCTTTATGCCATAAAAGATATGTGTGACTCTGTCAAACACTCAATAAACTCACTAAACTACGAGAACAGGCTGTTAATCCAAAAACGATGAGTTCAAGGAGATCTAACTTGACTCAGCCCACAAACACTGACAGCAATTATCCATTATGTAACTAATCTCTAATGTTTTTGTTCTGTTTGTTTGTGCTCATAGTTATTGGGTCACAGAACGCATCAATGAGAGGCTGAGCTGCTGTGTTGCATCTCTGGAAAACTCTCAGAAATAATTCAGCTGCTGCCCTTCATTATTTTGCTATCATGGTTTTATTTAATTAACCCGTTTGATCTTATACAAAGCTACATACTAAACATAAAAGGCTTCCTGCACCTAAATTTACACCAGTCTAGGTCATCAGTTTAATGAAACAAACGTCAATTTATTCGAGTTTGGAAAAACTGAGGCAGTAGGAGACATTTGGACTTCCTTTATAACTTTAAAACATTTCATAAAGCTAACATTTAACGATCCACTGGTTAAATGAACCAGTACTGTTCACTGCATTCTACATAGATGCAGCCATATTGGATTATGAGTTCAGATTAGTTCATAGCTCTGACTTTCCCAGCCAGGAAGGATTTAACTCTTTTGGAACTGGGAAAATGGAAACTCCACATCTTTAGTTCAAAGGGAATGCATTATTAGCACCGATGATTTCTGTTTCCACTACACAAGCCAGACTCTAAAATCGCTGCTGTTTCAGCACCAACTCTGAGCTGTTGTTGTGTTGGGCTCAAGAAAACCACTAACCAATATAAAATATCAGCTCCAGGTTTAAACTGCAGTTATTTTGGGGTTGCCCGATTTACAAAAACAGGAAAACCATAGATCCTATGCCTAAAGCTTGGAACTCAATGCTAATCAAGACATTTTGATTTGAAAAAGCTTCCTGGATGGGAAGCGAAACGTCTTCAGACTGGAAAAACAAAATCCGACGGTTTCTTTTTTTTTTACTTTTTTGGAATGACTATGACCTGAATGACTAAGAATCTTTACCAGCAACAATACTGTATGACGTAAAAGCTTGTATGAGGAAACAAGTCAGGCAGTCATTTCAATATAAGGTCAGAGGAAGCATAATAGCGGTGTGAAATGTCTAAAAAAAGGGCACTATATTTTCTATAGAAGCCTGTCAGGATTTTACACAGGGTCCTTTCCAGGAAGCCAAATAAATGTGTTACAACGAAGTTACTCCATCTGTCATGGATCATACTAATCATTGATATACATTGTAAAAGATACTTTAAAATGGGAACTTTAACAATTTTGTTTTGCTTTAAAATATGTTTTTTTATTCATTCATCTAATGCTTAGTTAAAAAAAAAAAACTTTCTCTATTGCTATTTACCGATTCAAAATAAATAGTCTTGTACAGAAAGTAACCTTGGTGATTCTGGCAGCCTTTTAAAAGTTAACCTTTTTTATCAACAGATGATGCTCATTGAAATTTTCACGGTTTGGTAAAGTCTAAAAACCTCAAATAAACTGAAAGTGATGGTAAACTATAACAAGTAGAGAGTCAATTTACCGACTAAAGTAAATTGACTTTGTGGAGGATTTGTGAACAGTTTCTTCTTTCTGTCCACACACCCTCCCACCCTGACCCTTAGCAGGTCACCCAGCCACTAACCTGCTCTGTTAGGGGTTTCGGTGAACCAGAAGCAGCTATGTGTAATGTGAGGCACTGAGTGAAAGGTAAAGAGCTGATAAAGGTAACAAAACTTCCCTGAACTACTAGCATGAACCTTTTAAACTCAAATAATACACGTGGAGGTTTCATTGAGCCAGAACAAACAAAGAAGAAGCTAAAAATGAGTTAAAAATTGGCAGAGTTGCTTTTTCTTTAATCATTTATTTATTTTGGCAGGGTGCTGGTTGTTCAGTTCTGTTACCTTTCTGTGGTTTGGCTTTAAGGATAGCTTATATCGTAAGGACTAATGTGAATGTCCTGACTTCACAACACACCAGGAATTAAACTCTAGCACATTCAAATAGAGCTGAACTACATTTGGGATTAAACTATAACATAAATATAATATCTACTATGACTGACAAAAAACAGTAAAATATGTGAAGGTCCTGGGAAGTGTCCTACCATGGAGTGTCCCACAATAAAGATGGGAAGATCTGGATGCTTGGACTTCATGAGGTCAATGTGCTGCAGGGAATCCCTGATGTAAACCTGAAAGTCCCTGATGTTCATCCTATCTCCTTCACTCTGGCCGTGGCCAACTGGGAGAAAGAAAGATAACAGAGGCATTAATACACAATAAATATTAAAGAGCTTCACTGCAAACATAACATTTAGGAAATTGCTTTGTTATAAGATTTAAATAGACAAATTGTTTAAAACAAAATGGGATGAACTTAAAATTGTGAACTAAAAAGGAATAAAGAAATCAAATATTAGATCATTTGATTTAGATTAGATTCTTGGATTGAACATTTTGAAGAGATATTTAAAAATAAAAAAGAATATTTCCATCTATTTATCAACCTTAATGCAAGGAGTTAACTTCAATTTTGTGAACCTGGAGATAATCAGGGAAGAGATGCACGGCGAAAAAAAAATGCATAGACTCAGTTCAAACATTTTAATCTTTAGCAGGAAGAGAACAAGCATCCCAGAGGTCTTCTAGGTGGTGATGAAAACAACCCTTTTTGGTGTGGAGACTAACTGAGGGAAGAGAGCTCAACGTAAACTATTTCAGTAACAAGGAGCAAAGTCGAAGGAGGGTCTGAGACGCTCATGGAGCTCGCCTGGTGAACCTACTGTAAGCCACAGCCCCAGTTCTCTAGCATTTCAAAATAAAACTTGACTTTTCATCATCGTCGCTTGTACTTTTTTGGGGTGATATTCTGTAACCCATCATACATTGTGTCGGCTTATATAAAAACCCAATTTTTGCAGGACTCATAACTAAACCCAAGTCAGCCATAAAAATAAAAAAAAATCTCCTGAAGCATCACTCTTGACATCGTTATTTTAATTGTTACAGCTACATGGCAGAGAAACCAGATATCTAATCACCTAAAAGAAGGAAATGTTATTGTATGTAAAAGAAAAAAGGGGTAAGAAAGGCTGTTTGATATCTGTAGTTCAGTTTATACAAGTCAGAATCTGTTTACAGATATCAAGAGTTTGGACAAGGCAAAGTTAGGTTGCTGAGATCAGTAATTAATGTACATTCTAGCTATTAAATGTAAAAAATGGCTGGCGTGGTTTGCGTTCACCAAGAGCTACGACAAAGGAGGTCTCCAGGCTACAGTGAGAGGGTTGTTGCTACAGAGGATAACAGGTAGGATAAGCAGTGTAAAACAGAGGAGCTTTTTTTCCTGTCGAGCTTTTAGCTTCTGACCTGGAGCTTGTTGGGTTTGAAAACACTGGTAACCTTTTGGAAATCTCAGAGCTAAAGTAAGGTATAAAATGGTTTATTGTTTAAAATGTTGATTCATGTTTTCTTTGCTATAAGAAAAAACAGTGAAACCCTGTTTTAGAAAAGGTTCTGTTACACACACCATTTACTTAATATCAATAACTAAGGCTTAAATATTCCACTAATATAATTCTTGAAGATAAATTAGAATTGCGCTGAATCAGACGCTGGAAATTAGAAATTTGGATCTGCTCATTCCTAAATCTGAGTTATTTTTAAGATGAATTGCAAACAATGTTGACTACTAACAGATGGAGTGTTTGCAAGATGCAACAGGCATTCAATCTGTGCAGGGCGTGAATAAAACAACCTAAAGTGTCAAAGTGTGCAGATTTTGAAATGCACCAAAGCACTGAGAGGATCGCTGGTGCTTTGATTCTATCTGTAAATTAAATGTTCAACAGAAAACAAAGGGCGAAAAAACATACAGCTAAAGCATAAAGAGAACAGAACAAGGAGCATGGATGGAGGAAGAGGCAGAAATGCGGAGGGGGGAGTAAAATACAAGGTAATGGAATTAGAATGGAATAATCCAGTAGAGAACAAAGAGAAACTAGGAACTTAAAAGCAGGTGAAACGGATGAGTGGTCGGCACAGGTGGGCTGAATTAGCTTCGCAGTGAAGTCAGGTTGGCTTCACTTATTCTACGTTCTCCGTCTGCGCCGCCGTTCCTCCAAAATGAGCCATATAGCAGTCCACACTCCATGAGTGTCAGATCAATCAGTGCATCACCTCTTCTTTTAAAATTTAACAAAAGCACTCTTCCCTTGTCGGACTTCCTGTCTGGCTAATCTGGTTTTTAGAAATCAACACATTTTGCCCCATATTCTATCACTTGATCCATATATCCAATGGAGGTGGTCTGTCCATCATGCCGCAGCAAAACATTACCTATAGAAATGATCACATTGTGGGAATTAGGGATTAGGCTAACAAAGCCAGAGCTGAGCAAGAAGCCAAAGAAGCCATCAAACATGTGGCAGAGAAAAATAAACATGAACACACGAATAAACTAGAAGACTGAGCATAAAGGAATAAACTCAGAAGTCAACACATATCTAATAATAAAAATAACATAACAAGGAAATTATTCAAACACACACACAAAAAATTGAAACCTAAACACCAAGAAATAGTGACATAAAATTCTTTTATATATAAAGGTATACCCAAGAGAGAGAGCACAGAAAATAAAGATCTCAATTGATGAACAGAGTGAGGAGCTCCCTAAGGCGATGCGCGTTTCTTTGCATCTGTGTTTGCAGAGAGACGGGGGGGTGAAATAGCGTCTGCAGGGACATGTTCCACTTCTGAATTTTTCATCTAACAAGGTCATATTTCAAAAAGTGTCACTGAACATGAAATTAGAATCATTCTCTGCCTTTTATTGCTTTGCTAGCAGCTCATTTGAGTGTAACTTTTAACATGATGAAGCTTTCTTTCTGCACAGTCATATTATGTCCCCCTGCTACCAACCAAGTTAAAGTCTAATGTGTTTTACAGTGTTCACATGAGCAAATCTTAGCTTGAACTAAAGTGACATTAGAAAACAAGAACCGAATAACAGAATGTCTTCTTCCTGTTTTGGAAAACATCATTTCTGTTCAGAAAATGGGGTTTTAAAGAACATTTAAATACAAATTAATTTGAAAAAATAAAAGCTTATTTAATAGGCAGTGAGATTATGTTTTTTTGTAAGTTGTATAGAAGACAATATATGGCTTGTAAATGTGTTAAAGGACACACAGCTAAATTTCTTGAAATTCCTGATGTAGAAATGCAAAAGTGTAAAATAGATGGTTAGCATAAATACTGAATGCAAGCCGGTGGACAGATATTGCTATGGGAGGTGTTACAATTATTGTTTAGTTCCGTCTTTCTGATAATAATGCATCAGTAATGTAACAGATGCTGCCCGTTTGACCGTCAGATATCTAAAACTTAATAATGAGTGACCGCCACTCCCTTCATCAATGGTTAGTGGTTGGCCTAGTGGTTAAGGCAAAGTGCTTGGAATCCTGAGGTTGTGAGTTCGAAATCCAATCCTACAGACTGGCTCTCTGAGCAAGACCCTTAACCCCTGATTGCTCCCTGGGTGTGCCATGATGACAGCACACTGTTCCCCAAGGGGATGGGTTAAATGCACAGGTACATTTCTCCAATGTGAGATCAATAAAGTTAGTCCACAACCCTAATAAAAACACTTCTTAAAATTTTGCATTTATAATATGAGATGAAAAATGTTACTTGATGTTTAACATCATAAGGGAGTGTTGGCCTAGTGGTTAGAGCAGTGCGCTTTTGCTCTGAGAAGGTTGAAAGTACCTGGTTTGATCCCCACAGCCTGCACACACACTGAGCAAGACCCTTAACCCGTGATTGCTCCCCAGGCGCTGCACAGTGGCAGCCCACTGCTTCCCAAAAGGATGGGTGGACTGCAGAAGTGAATTTCTCCATTGTGAGATCAATGATGCTCAATTATTATTACCGTATAAACATTTATTCTGTTACAGTTAGGCTGAGCTTTATGTGTGTTTTTATTGTCAGGTGAGTTGTAGTTAGCATAAGCATGGAAATAAAAAATCCAACTATGAGAATTAATGGTAGTAATTTATATGTTAAGTCTCTGGATCAGGTAAACTATGTTAATATCAAATATTTATTTATTTCTATACAGAGCGGACAAAAGTGATCATTAATGAATAAAAACTACATGGATACAGTTTTTTTAAGGCTGGTGTCCATTATTTTGACATCATTCGTCTAAGCAATCCCCGAGATGTGCTGCTGGTCTTTTGATCGATATTACTTAGCTGAGAGAAAGTATTTAGAGCCACAAATATTATATAACCTGTTAATAAAATACAACTTATTCCACTTGATGAAGGAAATCTGATGCCATTTTCAAGAATTGACAGATTATATTATTGACAGATTAAGTAAAAAACAAAAACAAAAAAACAAAAACATTAAATGATCAGTAAAGATGAAACAAGGATTTTCTTCTATAGAATATTATTTGATATAAAAAACAACAACACATAATTCCCAATCTAACCATAAAAATAGATCTAAAAACATGTTTCTGGTTGTTTTAAAGTGTGATTCTGTTATGAAAATGTAATCAAATACTGTTTAAAAAAAAACACTGACGCTTCTTATACTGGTATTTGTTATTATACTACATCACTTAGTTCTTTAAATCATTTTAGGCCATCATTAGGAGCCATTGTAGAAATTCCACAGAGTCCCTTGCAACAACATAGTCCTACATGCTAAAAAATGACACAGCAATGACAAATGTTACACAAGCTGCAGTTTAAACAAAAAGAAGCATTTGTTAACATTTAAAGAAAACATTAATAGTGGATGACAAATGGATGGAACAGTAGCGCATGGGTTTCATGTGATCTTAAGGCATTAAACCTGCCTGCACTGAGGAACACAAATATTAGTGGGCTGATTAATTGGTCTGTCTCTAGTACAAACGCTGATGCCGCAATGAAACAAAAATATCCTGAAACACACTCAAGTCTTAAACTGACGCCTTCATTTTGCATTTGTTTAAAGTCAAAATAGAGTTAATTAATGACACACAAAACAAACAGCTGATGTAAGTATTTTGTTGTAGTTCAGTTCTTTGTTGTATTTCATCTTGAAAAATGATCAGAACCAGAATCTAGTTGATTTTGCTCTTGAATTAGGTTTTGGCTCTTAATATTGTGTTCTCTGCCTTTTATGTTGTTGCCAAAAAAAACATCTAAAATCCAGGCCTACACCATTAAAATACCGTCTTGCTTTGCAATTAACTGGAAGAAAACACTTTATTTTTATAAATATGATAAAAAGATAATATGATATCTTATTTATTATGATTAACAGTGAAACAGTAGACCTAATGATTTAGTTCCCAAACATCTGACCCTTAAAGGAGATAAGAAATTAAGGAACTAAAAATGAGGATAGAAACTGTGACTTGTTTGCACAAAAGACTTGTAAAATAGTGTGACAACTGTGGCTTTAAATAGATGTTACCAAAGTTCTGCTTTCCTACTGAATTATATGTGTAACACTCAAGGCAATTACTCCAGCCCTCAAGAGCCCAAAAGTGCATCATGTCATAAAATAGAGGTATCTTTTAAAGTCTACAAAGTGACTAAAACTACTAATTAAATTAGAGTAATAGCCAAGTAGTGAGCTCTTTGTAAACAAAACGATGAAATCAAAAGTTACATTTCTGCAACTGCAACTGCCTCTTTTAAAATGTGATGATGCTGAAGTGGCTCAGTAGAAAAAATAGCTTGACATGCCTGCTTTAAGGAAGCTTCTAAGCACAAATGGCAGCATCTTAGGAATCTAGATGCGTTGAAGTTTACTTCCTGAAGCTCAAACCGAGCATCAAATTGGGGCAGAAACTGGACAGAAGTGGTTTGGCTGTTAGTGCTGGACAGGCTGGTAAGAGTAATGAAAAAACTGCTGATTAATGGGAATCCTGCACACAAATAACTCTGGGATTTACAAATCAACCAAGAAAGAGAGGGAAAAAATACCCTCTTTTGAATGCAGATGGAGAACAGCAGCAGACGTCGCTCAAGGTACCACTACTGTCAGCTTAAAACATGTAACAAAAGTTACAATTCACACAGGCTCATCAAAATTGGGCGATAACAGATTGGACAGGTCTCTACTTCAGCTGCAACATTCAGATGGTAGGGTCAGAAATGAGCATAAACAACAAGACAGCATGGATCCATTCTGCTTGGTATCAGCTGTTAAAGCAGGTATTTATTGGTGGTGGGGATATGTTTTCGGCACCAGAGTTAAATCTCTATCTACTTGTGCTGAATATGTGTATCTCTTAATGACTATGATGTGTGTGCCTTCTGATGAGCATCCAACGTCTTGTAATTTTTCACTGTTGCATACGATAACAAAGGATTAACTTAAAGTCTAAAACCCTGAGAACATCAGGTCTGTGGTGTTTAGTACCAGTTCTTCCTGTTCTAAGCAGTCAACTTGACAGTGTTCTTCAAACATATGTGCAACAAAAACAACATCATTTTGTTAAACAGGATTAGCTCACTCTACAATGAATAATCTGTCAGCCAGGGTGGTGTGCCACTACTGATAAACACCAGGGACACAGTGAGCGTGGGTGTATATGTATGCCGTCCTGCGATGTGTGTTTGTCACTTACCGTGGTCATGAGCGAACACCAGGAGGGACATTTCTTTCAGTCTCTGTGCAATCTCTTCATACGGCCCACTGTGCTCTCCTGCTCCATGTGCAATAAACACCAGAGCCCTACGAGAGACGACATAGAAGGAAAAAAGTTAGTTTTCTCAAGAAATTATAGATGCATAACACCTTGGATTTCCTTTCTGAATCTTGCATGAGGAGACAGAAGGTATGCATTCTGCATGGGTGTGGCATCCTTCCTTGATTGATTGATAAGGTCAGAGGAAACGGCTGGAAATAGCCCAAATCTCCTACAGACGGACCCTCCGGCTGAGCGGTGGAGGAATGAAACTGAGTTGCAGGGTGATGGAAGAAAATCATGAGCAAGAGCAGAAAAAGACAAGCTGAGAGTGAAGCAGACTGTGTGTTTAGAGATAACAGCTATCATCCATCTGTCAGTCTGCCTGCCTCTACACACCCCTGCCTGCTGGACTCTAAACACACACATTAGAAGCCATCAAAACACAGCATAACACTTGAATTTAGCAAAACCTGTGACTGCATATTCTTGAAATTCTCTCTAAACAAAAAATAAAGAAAACAAAAAGTGAAAAGGATTCTGATAAGTTTTTTAAATTGTTATCATGTACCTGTTTAACAAGGCTGCTTTGAGAGAGAGTGATTTTATTGGAATGTTTTCACTGAAGTTATGAACTTTCTGACTGCATTTCAAAAGTATTTGTGTTCTGTTAAACACTGTACATTTACTGCTCTGTCTGAGATTGGGATTTTAAGAAATAGACCAAATTAAAGTCTACTCATGCTGAGTAGAACTGAAGACCCAACCTGTGGAAGGCAGCCATGTCCTGGATGCTTGTAGCTGTGCCATACTGGATGATGGACTGAACTAAACAGAGACTTCATGCTACTGTTTAGAGATGATCACCAACAAACACAGCACAGCTGGATTTGATACTGAGATTAAAAATTCACACAGTGCTCTATTAGGAAAAAGCTGACCTAGTTGCCCTGCATTGAATTTATTGATAATGGTGACATTAGGAGGGGCTGAATAAAAATGGACAGCAACTTTTCAAAGTCAGCACTGGTGTATCACATGCAAACTTAATAACGCACATTGGGAAGAAGCATGTAAAGAAGTTTTAAAAGGGGATAAATATGTATGTAAAGCACTGCAGTCCCTTAGGAAGACCTAATGCAGCAGTACACTGTTCACCTGTTATCAAGGTAATGTTCTTTAGAGCACTATCAGTCGTTAGCTTCTCTTTCTTATTCTGGCAAGAATATGAAGTAAAAAACACATCAATTAGTTTAATTGTTAGGAAAAAAAAAGGTGAGGATGAGCTGGTTAGATATGAGTCTCTTTCAGTCTAGGAATGAGGTTACGCACTAGGGGCAGAAGCCTCCAAACCCCACTGTGGACAGATGGGGTGATGAGAGTGGGAAGGAAAAGATCAGAGGGTTCAGGGCAGAGGACAAACACAGAGGAGGAAGAAGGTGAAGTGTTTTGAAAGTTTAGAGCATTAGAAGGAAGGTGTCTGTGTGACCAATCGGAGCCAATAATCCTCCAGCATGGATGAGTTTCTGATATATAGGGACGGAATATTTTCTCAGAAATGTTTTGACTTTTTCATCTTATGACGGTAAAACGTTGTTTAAGCTGCACACACACATGCATATGTCATGTTTTTACTACAAATTTTGGATCAAATTTCTCCTGCACTCATCTCTTCAAACTCAGAGCTGGTTAAAGTTCTTATTTGTATCATATTGTTTATACATCACATAACCCCTGCAGAAATGAATAAACCACCAATAAACCTAAAGTGCTGTTTTTTCCAAAGGTCTCAATTTTTTTTCTTTCGATATAATTCCGTTATCTAGCTTTCTTCTGACTGAAGAAAGCTCCTGAACTTGTGATGCACCAGACTTACATTAACACGTAGTAGACAGTAAAATGGTAATTTTTAACATGCAGATGAGAAATCTGCTTGATTTGTATTGAAAGAACGGAGCTTTTTAGGGCAACATTTGATTTTAGCAAATGTTTAGCGCTTTCTATCAATGCATACTAATCAGGTGCAGCTGAGCGTTCCTCCTCTCTGAGGCATCGGTGGTGCTGAGAAGCCTGCAAGAGCTTCACTAATCAGCAGCAGACAATTAACCCAAATGCATTCAGTGACAGAGGAAGGAGGGAACAAAGTGAAACAAGGAGAAAAAAAGTGAAAGCGTTACGGGTGGGGTGCTGAGGAGGAGTGGAACAGTAGTGGCTGTTCATCAGTAGTTTCATTTCACTCATAGCTCTTTCCCTCCTTCTTTTAGGCTCCAATCGCTCGGAGCTAAGACTTCCTCTGCACTCCAAACGAGCAAACTTGTGTGTGAATGAGTGTCTTTGTGTGAGCATAATGTTCTGCGACACACAACCAGAGGAGCTGCAGCGTATTAGTGGGGCTAATTTAGCTTCGCTGTCAAGGCAACTGTACAGGGAACGGCATGCTGCAGACTCCCACTTTTCTTTTCAAGATTTTCTCCAATTATCGTTTCTTAAGATGTCCCTTTTCCTGTGCTGGATGATCTTATATTTCATCTCTGTCTTTTAATATAAAAAAGCATGAAATAAATTGAATACCATTTTGAGAATACCCACAACCACTGGGCCCCGTTCAGCAACAAACACTGCAGACAGCTCTGTGACATGACTCAGGCATCCTCAGTATGTTGGCTCAGCTACAGAAGGCCTGGTCACTTTTTCCACTTCTCTAAAACTAGCTTGTTAAGACTTGCCAGGAACTTCTTTTGTAATATTCCTTGAAGAAACTAAATTTTTTTATTAACTGTGATGGTATTCCCATAATAGAACCATAGTCTATATATAGATATATATACTGAAGTCATTTGATCAGCTCACCAAATTCAGTTTGAGGTATATTTCAGGTACTAGAGAGTCTTTGAGACAAAACTGCAATATATAAAAAAAATAGACAAAGATAAGCAAACAGCAATTGCTTTAAAATATCACTTCTCTAAACCTGATTATTAGATAAAGTTGGGTTTAATGTAACCAGCCACATTCCTCTGCAGAATCAAGAAGAATCAAAAGAAATTCAAGAAGTGATCAGAAACAATTTCATTAACACCTTTTCATCTGTGACGGATATGAAGACATTTATGTGGCTTTGGGGCTCCACTGATCCAATGGGAGAGGAAATATCCATAAGGGGAAAAAAACTGAATGTTGGTGATCTTCCTTAGAAGTGGCCGGCCTACCAGAATTATTCCAAGAGCTCATCCACAGTCCAGGAGGTCACAAAAACAGCTTGACAGTCTTCTACAGCCAAGCAGGCCTCGCTTGCCTCAGTTTGAGGTATTGTGGAGAATTTTTGCAAATCTTTTAAAAGACCCAACTTCTCCACTTAAAGAAAAAAAAAGCGTCTGAGAGAGAGTACACAAGCCCATTTCTACTCGTGCATGCTCTGTTTAAAAGTTGCTGTTTTCATAGCTCATACAAGCTTACTGTGTCTGAACGCTCTAACCCCTAAATCCCACAATCACTATATAGAGCGGGGACTATATAGTGGACTTAGTTAACTTACTTTCGGACAGATGATCACTGCTTTTTGCTCCCCGTTGGACACGTAACTCCTCCTCCACTACGCAGTGCCTGCGCCATCTTTTTTATTAGTCGCAGCTGTCAGGTAGCAACAGGCTATGGCGACAGCAGGCCGCTTGCTCTCTGCTCAAAGCATTCTGGGATATATCTGCCTCTTCTGAGGCCTTTCTTTTTACACTTCGTAGACGCTTTTTCTCTTACGACCATCGGCCATTTTCAAAGAACCACGGTGAGACAGGTGAGCTTCAATGACTGTCTGAAACCATAGCTCACCACATACGCCTGAAAATGCTCTTGCGCAGAAAAAGATAGCGAACTGGACAAACATGTAGGACGGCCTTACGTAAAGATATCACCAGAATGATTGACAATTAGGAGGACCACTTATTGAGATGATCTACTTAGAAATAAGAGACTGGCCTCTGTACCTTTAATGTCAGTGTTTCTGACTCAACAAGAAGAATTAGACTGACTTAAGAGTTTTAAGCCCAAAACTGCTGCTATTGAAAAAGATCTCAATGACCAATCTTTTTTAGATGCACAGGTCCCCTTCTAAATTGCTTACAAATAATAAGGTTTAAAAGCTGCCTTGTTAAAATTTAGGCTTTAATCCTATTGAGATGTTGTTATATGATTTTTTAAATGTGTTCAAACCTGATGTTACTGAATTAAAACAGTTCTTCAAAGAAGAATGGTACAAAATTCCTCCACCCTGATGTAAAAGACTAATTGCCAGTTATTGCAAATAGCAAGGGTGACATGACTAGTTATGGAGTATTAGGATATAGTGTTAGGATAGCTACCTTTATGCATCCTGTTGGTTTGGATAGCTTTATCCTATGATATATGAAGTTATGGTTTGAAAACTGCTTTTGGTATTTATTTAGGATGTCTTTGTCTAATATTAAGACATGCTTGATAACCTGAGTGTGAAATAAAAGGCAGATATAGAAGGGATCTGTGGGGTAAATACTAACTTTTCACCAGATTTAATAAGTTCTAACTTTTTCTTTAGAGCAAAATGCTTGCTTCATCATCTGCATAACTAATTCCCGTTCAGACCTGTACTGATTACGTAAAGCTGGAAAACGTTCAGGTTTTAGTTCTTTTTGAAGGATCCTCTCTTTTAACTGCCTCTTCTGTCATGGGAACTGGAGAGCTACTTGTCTCTCACACAGCTTCCGCTGCTGGAACAACGTGGCATAGAATAAGTCCTATTAAAACCCCCAGAGAGTGAGAGACAGGTTGTGGCTCCCACTGCTTTAACATGGGGCTGGTCCAAAGGACCACAGGCTTTAAACAAAGCCACTGCCCTAATCCGCCTTATGTAATGCTAGTGGGGTACAACAAGGTTAGGAGATTTGTATGGCTCTCAGTGGTCCCACCATCACTGGTGAGCTGCATGCATTTAGATACCAGATTATACAGCCGTTTCCTGATGCTACTACTGATGAGATTTGGCATATTTCTATTCCCTCATCTTCAATTAGTCACT